GGGAAAGTTTGATAAACCGGACATTAGGCACTAGCCATATCCCTCGACCGTTGGGTGCCCGGAGCCCGTCCCTGGAGACCAAAGCTGGCTGCAGGGAAGGTGTCTGCGTCCGGGCCCCACCTGGGAAGCTAGGGCGCGCAGTGAGCGCCCGGGCCGCGCGGTAACTGAACGATGGCTGCACTGGAGCGCGGGTTGGACCCGGCCCCCACAAAGCGGCAGAAGCCGGCGACGTGTGCCCGCGCAGGGGACGGAGCCTGCAAGTGCAAAACTTTGTAATAGCAAAGCAAAGGTCCCAGGAGGCCAGCTCCCCTTCCATCATGGGCAACTCACTGTGGTCTCGAAATGACCTGGCTGAGCCAAATCCCTAGGCCTGGTCGCTTGATCCAAGGGGCAAATCCCGTGTCTCCCAACCAGCCACCGGCGTGGGCTGAGCTCCAGCAGCACCCCCCTCCGCGGGTGCGTACCCGCAAAGCCCGTCAGCCCGCCAGGGGCTGCTTTCCGGGCCGGAGCCGCGGCTCCAGACAGCTCTCCGGCAGCTCCCAGGCTCGCGTCTCTGCCTCGTGCGCATCCAACTCCAACTTGCCCCTGCGGCTCCAACTCACCTTTGCGAAGCATGTTGGCCGCGGGGCCGCCACACCGAGGTCGGCCTAGACGCGCTCCCTTCTGGGTTCTGGATTCAAATCCGTGGGCGCTGGCTGCAGCTAATCCGAGCGCGTCGAGGCGGCGGCAAACCGGGAATCCGACTGTGCCCGGCGGCCCGGCCCCGCAGGGGCATGGTGAGCCCGAGCCCCGCGCAGAGGGCACCGGCGCCCACCAGCAACCGCGGCGCTGCCCCGCAGCCCCGTGCGCTCGCTCAGCCTCGGGATGAGCAGCTTGCTCCGCGAAGCCGGCGGCCTGCTTCTGCAGCCCAGAGCACTTTGCAGGCGGTTTTGAGGGGGGACGCCGCCCCCCGGCAGCGGCCCCCTCCTTTCCGCCCCCTCGGGCCGCCGCCGCCGCGGCTGCTGCAAAAGGGTGCTCGCACACAACGCGGAGCTCCGGGGAAAGCGCCCGGCGCGCGTTTGCAGGACCGAGCGATCGGCGGAGCGGGGCGCCTCCCTTCCTCCCCCCGGCTTCCCCCACCTTTCCTCCTCCCTTCCTCCCTCCCTCGCTTGCTAGCTCCCTCCCCCTCGCTCCGCTCCCCGCCCCCGCTCACGGAGCGCCTCCCATACAAAATTTATGAAAGTGCTCTCAGCTCGCAGTGCCGAGCGCCGTCCTATTCCCAGGGCAGCGGCGCTCAGCCGCGCGGCGCCGCCTCCCAAGGTGTTTTTGTTTCGCCCGCCCCCGGGGGCGACCCTCCACCCGCATCCGTCCAAGTACCTGCCTTAGCCCCGGGGCCTGTCGTCGGACCATTCGAAAAGCCCCTCCCGGGCCCCGTGGGCTCCCCAGAGCTCGTACCCGCAGCCCAACCCCCGCCCGTTCGCCCTTCGCGGATGGAGGTCACCCAGCCAGGCGGCTGGAAGCGTGCGCTCTGCCGACTGGCTGGGACGAGACGACCGCCGCCCAGAAACCCTGGTCACAAGTCTGCACCCCTGCCCATCTCCTCTTTGGTCGGCTCCGCTTCCTCCTTGGAGGCTCGACGGCTTCTCCCAGCCCAAAACGGCTCCGACGGACCCTGCCGCCTCCCATCCTGCGTCCCAGGACACTATTCTTTTTTGGGAGGAGGTGTGGCGTGCTCCTAGGCATGTCTAGACCTCGAAGCAAGCACTTTAGGAGGCCCAGTTGCAAACCCTAGAGAGAGTGAAGAATCACTGTGTGGCTCAAGTGGGCTATCTCCGCCTAGGGGCCCCTCTGATTGCCCTCGGTCTACACAGACCCCGCCCGGGGCTTCGTAGAAAATGGAGGAGGTGCCGCCTAGAAAGTAGGTCCCGCAGGGGGCAGGTTGGGCTGAGCGTGAAGGTTCAGGCTAGCCTGGATCCTCGGTGGAGGCCGGCACCCCCTACTGGCCTGGGATAAGAGGGATTCTGGGAGAGGAGAAAGAGTGGGTTAAGTCACTCATTCAACACATACTTATTGAGGGTCTATTAGGTGTAGGGCACTACTATTCTTGGGACTTAAGCCAATGAAAAAGATAAGGTCCCAGCCTTTGGGGAGTTTATAGTCTAATAGGGAACTAATGAGGAAAGTCTAGATGAGATGGTGCTTGGAAGAAAAGCAAGTGGTATTATTCTGGAGCTGACATGAGGTCAGCGAAAGCTCTTTGAGCAGGTGACACCTAAGCAGAAATATAATTGAAATGAGAGAATGAGTTGTGTGATTTGTTGGAGAAAAACCTGGCATGATAGGAAGGTCAAAAAGACCAGTATCATTCATTCTCTCATACATGTATCCAATCAATGCATTGAAGCTAGGGTGTGAGCTAACTATATAGGCTTGGATTTCCAAAGCTTGGGGAAGAAAGACCCACAAGCCTCTTAGAATGTTACAGGAGGAGATACAAAGAGTGGGAGGGGTCTTTGCTGGATCTGTAGTGGGGTGAAGGACCATCAGGGAAGGCTTCACAGAAGAAATGCCATTTGGGTTAGGTCTTGAGGAGAAAGGCCATTCCAGGCAGGAGAGAATGTGCAAATGCTTGGAGGTGAGAAAGTAACCTTTATCTTCTGAAGATTAAAAAGATTAGTCCATTGTGGGGTGGGAAGAGAAGGTAAATCATTCTCTTAGCCTTGGCCAGCTGCAAGGCTGGACTGACCCCCACACCCTGTCTGCGCCCTGCCAGGCTGACACCAAAGCTAAACTCAATGACACTGAGAACTTGCAGAGGTCCTCTACAAGTAAACTGAGGCCCAGGGAGGTTGAACAACTTGCTCAGTATCATACAGCAGATCAGGGCCAAGCTATCAGCCTGAATTAGGGTGTTATTCCTCCTTCCACCTCCTCAAGCCGCCTCCCCAAGGCCCCCTGAACCACAAACTCCAGCATCTTAAGCAAAGTTGGCTGGAACTGGGCGTGAGTGTGAGAAGTCGAGTTATTTCAGCCTCAGGAGGGCTGGGCTCTGCTTTGGAGTCCAGCCAGGGGTGGGGGTGATTGTAGGCGGGTGTTGTGGTATAATGTGGAGGTGCACTGTGCCTGCCTTCTTGTCAGGCAGTAATTACTCAGACTGCTGAGTAACTCAGGCAGGGAGACCCCCACAGACAGATGGAGGTGTTCTTGGACTAATTTGAATGGCAACTCCCAATGTTTTGCACTGCAGGGTCTTGGGGAACATGCTCACATGTACCCTTAATGTCTTATTTCTCCTGGACATTACCTAGTTTCCTAATGGGAGCCAGGGCAGCTCATTTAGCACAGAGCCTATGGGACAATGTTGTAAGAGGACGGGGTCCTTCCATATCAACAGGCCCCATCTCTACCTCAGAAAAAGCCTCAAGGGGCAGAGTGCCTGCTAGGGAGAAGCCACTGCTCTGCTCCAGCCAATCTTTTCCCCCTTGGAACTTTTCATAACTATGTTTTCATTGGTTTTTTAGAGAAAGAGGAAGGGAGAGAGAAACATCGATGCGAGAGAAACACATTGATCTATTGGCTGCCTCCTGCATACCCCTTACTGAGGATTGAGCCCCAAACCCTGGTATGTGCCCTGACCTGGAATCGAACTGGGACCTCTCAGTCCATGGGATGACACTCAATCCACTGAGCCACACCAGCAGGGCTCCCCCTTGAAACTTTTAGCTGCAGCCAGAGCTAGAGCTGCCTACAGGCTGGACCTCAGTGTTGTAAAGGGAGAGCAGGTGGACTCAAAGGATCCCCAGAAGAATATCCTGCTCCTTGCAGATCCAGAGAAACTGGGGAAAATGGGGAAGTCCAGGCTGGACTCTCATCAAGGTGAGAGTTGTGTGCTTGGGACCCATGTTGGCCACATTCCTGTTCAAAGTTGTTGGTGGCCCAAGGGGCAGAGCATTGACCCCTTCTGGTCCTCTTCTTGGCTGCTCACTCCCAGCCTGCCCAGCCATCCCTTCTCTCTGGGCAGCCTCCCTGGCAGGGCCAGTCCCTGGCTGCTTGTTTTTCACTTCTCTCTCTGCACCTCAATTAGGAGTTTCCAAGCTAGGAGGGCCTCCAGGGGAGCCTGAGGCCACAGAGCTGTTTTAAAGGGCTAGCTGTGCTCACATCACCACTGCAGAGAGGGGAAGATGGTGCCAGAAGGCTGGGTGGGCAAATGGCCCTGGGGAACCATTGCTCTATGGGGCAGACCTTACTGAAGGCCAGTCCTGAAGGCCACTACTTTGCTCTTTTAAAGGTCAACGCTGTCTCACTGGCTGCTCTGCCTTCCCTTTGAGATCCCAGGAGCTCAGGTCACTGAGCAGGAGAAATTCTACCATAAGCCTAAGTAAGGGGCAGTCTAGTCAGGGAAAACGTTGGCCAGAATCTGAGTCCTCAATGGAAAGCACCCTCTGTCTCAGGACCTTCTCCTGGTAGCATTTTTTTCACACGTGAACCTTCCACATTGTGGGTTTTAAGGGTACGCTGGCGCTCCAGAAATAGGCACCAGGACTCAATTTGGAGCTGGGCACGGAGTTCTGTCCTATGGGGCAGTAGGTTCCTCTGAAGGAAGGAATGTGGCCCCACTCACACGCGTCCACTGCTTTTACCAGGAGGGGAGACAGGAAGGGGAGCAGAAGGAAGACCTGGTGGTGTCCCCATTCGCAAGACTCGGCCCCCAGAAGTCCGGCAGGGAGTTGGCAGATAGGGAAGCTCTGACCTAGGAGTGCCAGGTTCGGCTCAGTGGGGAGGAAGAGTGGGCAGGGTCGCGGGGAGAGCGCAACCGCTGTGGTCCGGGACCACTAGGGGCTCTCGCGAGCACCGACCTTGCGGACAGAGACGGGCTCACAGTAGCCCCGCCCCTTTGCCCCCGATGTCCCCGCCCAGCAAATCCCCGCCCCTCGCTGGCCGATCGGCGAGCGATCGCAATGTCTGCGCGCTCCGCGTTCTTCCAGAGCTGCCTTTTTGGTCCCCACGTGGGCAGGCCGGTGATGGCGGCGCTGGTGGCGTCCGAGGCGGCGGAGCCGGGCTCTGGGAAAGGTGGGTGCTGTAACACTGCGGCCCCCAGACCTCGCATCTCGGGGTAGGGTCCCCGAAGTCAGAGACAGGACCAGCCCCATTCTTCGCTAGACCTGGAAGGTCCCGCCGTCACTCGCTCTGGGCAGCTGTCACCGGGGCCCAGAGCCACCGGTCTTTCTTCCGTAGCCTTTGGGCGCGGTCGTGGGCTGCCCCTCCGAGGAGCTGGTGGTCCTGAAGCCAGACACGCTGCCCCCTGCTGTGGCCGGCAGACAGACCCTTGAACCGTGAAGACTCACAGGAAAGCTGGACCTGACGGGGAGGGAAGGAGCCAGGCGCGGTGCAGCGGCCGTTCCACGGGGGGCCCGCAGGGAAGGGGCACGTGGTTTCACTCTCCAGGCACTTAGTGAGCGCCCGCTGAATACCAGGCCTGCGCAAGGTGTAGGGACTAGACTCTGGGACGTTAGTCTTCCGGGGAATACTGACATAAACTGAAGATTTAGCCACGTGATAAAGGAGGAGGCGCCTACTGGCCCTTGGGACAAATTGGGCTGCTAAGACTACTAGCTCCTACACCCCTATAACCACAGAGTATTTGGGCCTGTCAGAGGAGCTTCTGTGAGGGGACACTGGGCTGGTTGTTCCAAGGCCTTTGAAACAACCGAACAAAACCATAGCAGTGGTAACATTCAAATCTGGTCTCGGTCCCAAAGGGCCATGCTAGCTCTCCACTGCACCATCACCACCCACCTCCCCCTTCCCCACACACAGGGTAAAGGATCAGGTCTGGGAGGATCCCACCTATCATAGTGAGGGGCCCTAGCAGAAGTTCTGGCACATAGTACAGGTTCAATCAATATTCGTTGACTAAATTAATTTTTTGCCTTATCACATTCCCGGACTGTCTGGCTCCTAAAGAGATTAACTGGGGTGCCCTGGCTGGTTTGGCTCAGCGGTTAGAGCATCGGCCCGCAGAACAGAGAGTCCTGGGTTCAGTTCCCGCTAAGGGCACATACCTCAGTTGCAGTTTGTCCCCGACCCGATTGGGGTCGTGCGGGTGGCAATCATTCGATGTGAGAGAGACACATCAGTGTTTCTCTCTCTCTCTTCCATCCTTTCTCTCTCCTGCTCTATCTGAAGATAAATGCAAAAATGTCCTTGGGTGAGGATAACAAGAAAAAAGAGATAACTGGGGGCTCAGCTAAACTGAACTGTGGGAAGTAAGATGCAGATTAAGGGTTTTGGCTTTGCTAAAGGGCTACAATGTTTTCTCCTTTATTTTATTTATTTACTTATTTTTGTGTTAATCCTCATCTGAGGAGCCAATGATTTTTAGATAAAGTGGAAGGGAGGGAGGGAGGGAGAGAGATATTAATGTGAGAGAGATACATCAACCCCAATGGGGCGGGGATCGAACCTGCAACCCAGTTACATGCCTTTGACTGGATATCAAACCCATGACCAGGCTGTCGCCCTAACCATTGAACCAAACTGGCCAGGACATGAGGGCATGAATGTACTCAAGTGAGGAAGGCAGTCTTTTATTTTATTTATTTATTTTTTTAATACACTTTTATTGATTTTTTTTTTAGAGGGAGAGAGATATAAACATTGATGTGAGAGAGAAACATCCATCTGATGTCTCCTGCACACCCACTACTGGGGATCGAGCCCACAACCCCCGCATGTGCCCTGACCAGAAATCCACTGATGTATACAGGCTGGGCTGGAAGGCAGTCTTTTAAATTAGCACTTACAACTGTTTGCTTATAGATCTCTTGTCCAGAACCTCAGACCTTCAGGGTGTTCTCAGGGTGGGGGAGGAGGCACATCTTCCCAGAATACTTGGCTGTTCCTCAGGGTTGTTTTCTGTCAAGGAGCAGTTGTGTGGACTTTTTCCCTTTTGCCTCTCAGTTCAGTCCTCTGGTGTCACCTCTGCTCCTCTGAGGTAAGGGGTGAACCATACCCAACATACCCCATTCATGGGCTCAAGTCTTTGATTCCCAACAATCTCACAACATGGAAATTAATTGTGCAGGTTTCCTCCTGGCTTGTGTTTTCTTTCCAGCTTCAAGATGAACTCAGTGGGGAAGATGGCTGGGCCAAGTCCCAAGGGATCTGGGATCTGGGACTGAAACTTGGGTGGAGCTAACAACTTAGCTGGGTCTGGCTGTGGTATTGGCCAGGTACTGACTCAGGCCCTATATTTTTCCTAGGTCGAGTCCCTCGGGGCCGCTTGGCCAATCAAATCCCCCCTGAGATCCTGAACAACCCCCTGCTGCAGGCAGCCATTCAAGTCCTGCCTTCCAACTATAACTTTGAGATCCCCAAGACCATCTGGAGGATCCAGCAGGCCCAGGCCAAGACGGGTAAGCCCCCAAGCTTTGAGCTGAGGTGGGGGTGGAGAGGTTGCCTGGCCCAGTTAGGGACAGTGCCCCATTCCAGCCTCTTCCCATTCTCTGCTCTCATGTCTCTGCTTTGTCTCCCAGTGGCCTTGCAAATGCCTGAAGGCCTCCTCCTCTTCGCCTGCACCATTGTGGATATCTTGGAAAGGTGAGGCTTAGGGCCCCTGAGAGGAAGCTGAGCCAAGACCCCATGCCCATTACAGCTTTGCCTGTTGACATCATTTTTTCCTTCTGGACCTCTGCCTTGTAGCCATACACATACAAAGGGAAAAACCCAAAATTAAGTCAGAGCAGTTGGTGGGGCCTGAGGAGAAACCTGAGAATCCTCAAAGCTCACCCTGGAATGGGCTGAGTAGTCAGAGCGAGGTCTGGCTAGGGGGAACCTTTATTTCTGGCATATCTTGGGGAGTAGGGCAAGGAGGGGCTTGGCAGGGGAGAAGTGCCTTAGAGATGGTATTCAGTTCCTCTGCTCCTCTAAGTTTCTTCAATACAATGAGCCATCCTTGGGAGGTGGGGGTGAGTGCTCAGCCATCTGGAACCAACATAGGAACAGGGAGGGGGAATGGAGAAAGGGGAGGTCATCTCGTGATGGGAACCTCCCACTTCCCTGCTGCTGCCCTCTCCCCACCCTGCTCCTAATCCCGTTGCCACAGACTCACTTCCCTACTCCCACCCTCTTGCCCCTTAGGGATGCTCTCTGGGGCTTGGGCCAATTTGCATACATTTTAATCTATAAAAAATTAAGTGCTCAGGCTGACTCAGATGCCTGGGCTGCATTCTAAGGAGTTGAATAATCTGCTTTTGTGCACAACCTGATTTGGGGAAGGGGGATGGGGGAGGAGAGAGGAGGGGGCTGACTGGCAGCAGTTCAGCTTTCCCCACCACACCCCCAGGAAGGGAATGGAGAGACCTCAGTCACTGAACCAGGATACATGCCCCAGGGGTGGGTCTCAGGGAAGAGATGGTCCTCCACTCCATTCCTGTAGTGAATTCAGGGGGTGAAGGGTCTTCCCCACCCACCCCCGTCCCACAGTGATTCAGGCCTGGCAGCAGATCCCATGGCAATGTGCTGGCCCGAGCCCACTCTTCCTGACGCATGGAGCGTGTGGGTGGAGCCATGTGCTGTGGGGGAGCTATGCATGGGACCCCTCATCCTGGGCGCAGAGGACCCTGACTAAGGGTGAGGAGGTGGCAGAGGGTCTGGGCATCAGGGAGGCTGTGTGTACCCACACATGCATGCCTATGCACCCCACAGTGCCGAGACTTGGGGGCAGGTGCCTTTGCACATGTGTACGTGCTCACTGCTCTGGGGGGGATGAGTCAGGCTATCGGAGGTCTATGTTTGACCCTGTGTATGCCAGTCTCAGATTTGGGGGTCCCTCTTGCAGTCTGAGCCTGAGCAGAGGAATCAGGGTGCTACAGAGACCATCCTCATACAGCTATAGTTCCAGAAACTGCTGCCAGAGCTGGAGGAGGTGGCAGCTGGGCCCCTCCTACTCTGTTGGCAGAAGTGGCATCTGTCTACCCAAGGGATTGGGTGAGGTAGGGAGAGAGGAGCTGGGCCCTGAGATACTTCCACAGTGTTAGGTCTCTCTTCCACCTCACTCCTTGGATCACTGTGCCATTATCCCATCCCCACAGGTTCACAGAGGCCGAAGTGATAGTGATGGGTGATGTGACCTATGGGGCTTGCTGTGTGGATGACTTTACTGCAAGGGCCCTGGGAGCTGACTTCCTGGTGCACTATGGCCACAGCTGTCTGGGTATGGTGGACCAGTACACCTGGAGCCTGGCAGGGTTGGTAGGGAGGCAGGACTCCACACTGATTCCCATCACAGTGCCTTGTCCTGCTTGCAGACACGAGGTCCCTCCTGGTTTCTGGGATGGCCTCACCCTTCCTGCTCTGCAGGTGGATCTTTCCTTTGGATTTGGTTGCCTTGGAAACCATGCTGCTGTCCCAGATGCGGGTGTTTGAAAGGCTGGTGGTGGTATAGCAGGCGGGGCCCCTGGCCAAGTGACCGAGAAGGGGCTTCTAACAGACCTGTGACACTCCCCCTCCTCTCCCCACTTCCTTCTTCCCCCAGCTTGAAGCCACTGGTCCTGCTGCTCAGGGACCTTGGCCTGGGCCAGGCTGTCTGCCCTTCTTGCCTTCCAAAATAGTCTCTTGAACTCTTCCCTCCCAGTTCCCATGGACACCTCTGCCCAAGACTTTCGGGTGCTGTATGTCTTTGTGGACATCCGGATAGACACTACCCATCTACTGGACTCTATCCGCCTCACCTTTCCCCCAGCCAGTGCCCTTGCACTGGTCAGCACCATACAGTTTGTATCAACCTTGCAGGTAGGTGGCCAGACAGCAGCCAGTGTCCAGGCTATTCTTGGTCCCCGTGCCAGGTGCTGCAGGCTGGTCCTCTGGCCTTGGCTCTCCCTCCTAATCCACTTGCTTTTCTTCTCTTGTTTTCCCTACAGGCAGTTGCCCAGGAGCTGAAAGCTGAGTATTGTGTGAGTGTCCCACAGTGCAAACCCCTGTCCCCTGGGGAGATTCTGGGCTGCACATCCCCCTACCTGCCCAAAGAGGTGGAGGCTGTTGTGTAAGTGAAAAATGGGGGTGCCAATTGTACCAACATAAAAAATGTACTTTAGGAGTCTAAAACTCCTTAACCATTTGCTCAAGGTCACCTTGCAACATGGGGACCAAATAGAGTTTCTGGTTTTCTGTCTCCCTCTCAAGTACTCTGTCCACCATCCAGAAGGCTATGCCCAGGGTGCAGGAATCAGAGGGCCTGATGGGATGATGAGGGTGGGCTAGAAATGGTGGGAATATAATTGGAGAAGATGGATGGGTACACCCAGGCTGTAGCCCCATTAATTTAGCATCCGGACAGCTAACAAGCAGGAGCAGCATGTCTCCTGCTGCCTAATTATTTTAGGTAATGGAAATGCTTAATGTTGTGTGAATGCAGCCAGCCTCAGAGCCGACAGCTCCTGGCTGGGACTGGGGAGGGCAGTCCCGTTCCTAGCTAATGGCAGGAAAGGAGGCAGAGGCACTCCTCTGACTTAGCCCCACCCTTGGGGCTAGTTCAGTAGGCCTTGCTGCACCTACACAGACATCCCTACCCATAGACAGGCCCATATCAGGGCCTTCCCCAGCCTAGACCTGGTATTCCTGCTTCCCAAGCCACATTTCCCTTGTGTCTGTGCCTGCATAATTGAGCTCACAGATGCCTACCTTTGAGGGCTTCAATGTGTATGTTGGAGGGAGGGAAACCCTGAGTGATGGCCATTCATCAAAATTCAGTGTGGTTTCCCAGAGAGGAAGCTGCCATGGCCAGTTGTATTCCATGTTCTGGCCTCATGTTCTGCAAAGGTACTGTTAGAGGTGGCGTCTCCCAGGGCATGCTGGGTACAACTTCCTGGTAGTTAGGCCTAGAGTTGAGCCCTCGATGTACTGTTTAATAGCTGTGTGACTTGGGCAAGTTTCTTTTTTTAAAAAAATATGTTGTGTTTTTTTTTTTATTTGTGGGGAGAGAGAGAAACACGGCTGCCTCCTGCACGCCCCCTACTGGGGATTGTACCTGCAACTTGGGCGCGTGCCCTGACAGGGAATCAAATTGGTGACCTTTTCTTTTTTTTTAGTCCTCACTTGAGGATATTTTTCTGTTTATTTTCAGATAGAGTGGGAGAGGGGAGAGAGGACAGAAAGAGAGAAACATCAACGTGAGAGGGACACATTGACTGGTTGCCTCCTGTATGACCCCAACCAGAGAGAGCTGAGGGCAAACTGCAACCAAAGTAGGTGTGCTTGACTGGAATCGAACCCGCGAGTCATTGGTCTGCGGGCCCACGCTCTATCCACTGAGCAAAACCATCCAGGGCAAATTGGTGACCTTTTTTATTTAGATGGAGTGGAAGGGAGGGAGGGAGAGGGAGGGAGACCAGGTATGTGCCCTCAACCGGGAATCAAACGCAAGACCCTTCAGTCCGTAGGCCAATGTTCTAACCGCTTAATCAAACCAGTCAGGTCCAAACCTTTTGATGTATGGGACAACACTCAACCAACAGAGCCACACCGGCCAGGGCTGGGAAAGTTTCTTAGCACGCCTAAGCCTCAGCTGTATCTTGTAACATGGAAATACTATAGGTAGCTTGGAGAATTATTTGATAGGATTGAGTGAAGTCATACATGCTAGATGCTTAGCCAGGCACAATGCACAGAAGGCATAAGTTCAGTAAACAGTAGCTATTATTACAACTCAGTAATTGGACCCAAGAGCTAGATAGGGCAGAGAGTAGCCAGTGTATACCCTGAAACCTCCTTTACAGCATAGATGACACCCTGAACACTACTTCCGTTGTCTGTATTGAGTGAGGGCGAATCTGTCCCCCTACCTCCAAGTTAGGGTCTCTATAGCCTGGAGCAGCCTTACCTGGCCTCAGCTGTGCCTTTACTCTTCCCCCAGAAGGTTGGGGGTTGGAGTTGTTCTTAGATTCTTTTTTATTTTTTATTTTGGTACGTGCCCCTAGCGGGAACCGAACTCGGGACTCTCTGGTCCACAGGCCGATGCTCCAACCGCTGAGCAAAACTGGCCAGGACTAGATTCTGCATTACATAACTAGAGGGCCTTTACAGGCATTTAATTAAAACTCCTTGTTTTTTTGTTTGTTTTTGTTTTTTTATCCTCACCCAAGGACATTTTTCGATATTTTGTTCAGATAGAGTGGGAGAGAGAAAGAGAGAGAGAAACATCAACGTGAAAGAGACACATCGAGTGGTTGCCACCCACATGACCCAACCAGGGTCGGGGACAAACTGCAACTGAGGTATGTGCCCTTAGCGGGAACCAAACCCGGACCACAGGCTGACGCTCTAACCGCTGAGCCAAACCGGCCAGGGCAAAAAAACTCCTTGTTTTACATGTAAGAAAACCAAAACCTCAGGAAGTGAAATGACTTGTCCCAGTTCACACAAAGTCAGTATAGCACAGCCAGCCAAGAACTCAGTCCTCTGAACCCCAAGCCAGTACCTGCTTCTGCTGCCCCACCCACAGCACCACCCCCTTCTGTTCCCCTGCAGATATCTTGGAGATGGCCGCTTTCACCTGGAGTCTGTCATGATTGCCAACCCCAACATCCCTGCTTACCGGTATGGGCTGAGCTGGACCAACCCTGGGGAGAGGTTGGGATTCTCTGCCACTGAGGCCCTCAATCAACCAAAACCTCCTCATTCTCTGGCCACTTAACAGCCCCCAGCCCTAAAGATGAGGTACCTGGGTCCTGAATCTGGGTGTCAGACCCAGAGCTGTTGCTATACAGTACACACCCATTCCCTTGGAGTCATGGATATCCTAAAGCCCTCTCCCACTCTTGCCTGCTCCAGCTATGGGACTTATATTCCCAGTGACAATGCTCTTGCCTCTATTCCTAATTACTTGCGTTGAGCCTGAAGGTTCAGGAGACCAAGGGGCTGAGTCAGGGAGCCACGTGTACAGCCCAACCCCTAAAAGTGGCCGTCACAGTGACCCTGACAGCTTCTTTTCCAGATATGACCCATACAGCAAAGTCCTATCCAGAGAGCACTATGACCACCAGCGAATGCAGACTAACCGCCAAGAAGCCATAGCCACTGCCCGCTCAGCTAAATCCTGGGGCCTTATCCTGGGCACTTTGGGCCGCCAGGGCAGCCCCAAGATTCTGGAGGTCAGAGGGCTTGGGGTGGTCCCTGGAGGAAGGGACTGACTGGGGAACCCAGCAGGAAAAATCAGTAGGCCAAAGAATTTAGCCTTGGTAGCTTGATTATGATGACTGCAGCTCTGCCTCCCTCTACCAACAGCACCTGGAATCTAGGCTCCAAGCTTTGGGACTTCCCTTCCTGAGGCTACTGCTCTCTGAGGTCTTCCCCAGCAAGCTTAGTCTACTTCCTCAGGTAGATGTGTAAGTTTCTCTATTTTATCTACCTAGCTATGACTGTCTAAAGAAGTTTAGAATCTGGGTCCTTCCCAGCACTTATTGAGGGCTGGAGTCAGCAGGAATTACAGAGCATTCATCCAGCAGGGGCTACTCCCTGGATCACCTCTCTTTTGTGTCTTGGGGCTCACTGGTAACTGCCACATCATAGTGGTTTTGTGTGAGATGAGATTGAAGGGTGGTTGGCGTCTGCATTGTACCAAGCACTAAATTTGATTCATTCTGGAGATAGTATTACAAAGGAGTTGCCCAGGCCCTGCCCTCAGAAAGCTTGTAGTCAGTGGAGGAAACAGAAGATAAACACTATAGTGTTATTCTAATCAGCAGCAAGTTATGGTCTTTACTTTAGAATTCATAGTAAGCATTCATTGGGTGTGTTGGGGACACAGTCATGTTCCTCTGCATGCTACTCTTAGGTATGATCTGACTTCCCTTCCCAGGTGGGTTCAGGTGGCATGCCCACGCCTCTCCATTGACTGGGGCACAGTCTTCCCCAAGCCGCTGCTGACACCTTATGAGGTAATACTAACATCTGAGAGAGTGGGCTTTGCATCTGGTTATGTCAAGGGAGGGATCTGAAGTGGACCGGGGTAGGTGGGCAATACTTAAGGTACAGCTGAACCACTTCCTAGCAGAGAGCCTTGGGCAAGTCTCTTAACCTCCTTGAGACTGACATTTCCTCTGTGGTATGCTGATAATAGGATCTTCGTAGGCCATTGTGAGGACTAGATGAAATAATCCCGTGCAGAAAAATGTTGGCAAATGTTACTTTCCGGTTTTCCTCTCCCAGGCGGCGGTGGCCCTGAGGGACATTTCCTGGCAGCAGCCCTACCCCATGGACTTTTATGCCACCAGCTCCTTGGGGCCATGGACGGTGAACCACGGACGAGACCGGCCCTCCCAGGCATCCCGCCGGCCTGCGCTGGGGAAGGTAGGCGGGGACTCCGAGGAGGGAGGAGTGGTCGCTCCCCGGCGACACGAGCCGAGGCCGCCGCCATGCGACCGCTACGGGAAATGCATGAGAGCGGAATGGAGGACGTCACAGAAGTGGAACCTTGACCAAAGTGTGCGACCTCCGGTGCAGGAGGGGTCCACACGCCTTTCTCCAGCCGTGGCTTGCGAGGGTTGCAGCTGCAGAGATGAGAAGGTGGTGCCAGTCGCTCGGTGAAACGCTCCTGAATCGCAGGTACACGCCCTGCTTTGGCCGCGCCTCATCCCTCTGCTTCTCTGCGGAGCGCTTGCTCACTCTAACGCCCGCCTTCAGGGTGGTGCCGCTACTTGGCCCCGCCCCCTACGCAATCCAACTTCCGCTCGGGGAAAGGCCGCTTCCGTTCTCTGGCGCGTTGCTCCGCGGTATGGCTGTGCAGCAACGTTTGCGGGTGTTGTGCTTGGCGGGCTTCCGGCAGAGCGAGCGGGGCTTCCGCGAGAAGACGGGAGCACTAAGGAAGGCGCTGCGGGGCCGCGCTGAGCTCGTGTGCCTCAGCGGCCCGCACCCGATCGTGGACACAGCGGGCGCCGGGCCAGAGTCCGGTGAGACGAGTCGTTCCCGGAAATGCGCTCCTAGTCTTCTCTGTCCTGCCTCGTCTCCGTAACGCTCCAGCAAACCCCGCCTTCTACTGTATCCTCACTCATTCCTCCCACCCTTCCACTTTATTCTGCCCACACCCTTTTCTTCCATCCCATCCTTCCATGTTTACACCTTGATTTGTTCCGCCCGCCACTCCCCATGCCAATCAATCATTCCCAGCCTCATTTTCCCCAGACTTTCTTCTCTCCCCTCAACCGCCTCTCTCCCTGCCATTCCCAAAGCCTCCCTTTCTCATTTCTTTCTTCCCTGCATTCCTCCTTTCTCTAACCCCACCCTACCCCCCATGTTTCTGTAGGGTCCTGCCCTCCGGAGGAGCATCTTCGAGGCTGGTGGTTTTCAGAACAGGGAGCAGACATTTTCTCCGCATTGGAAGAGCCCACTGTGTGCAGAGGTCTGGAAGAAGCCCTGGAAACGGTGGCACAGGCACTGAACAAGCTGGGACCTTTCGATGGGCTCCTTGGTTTCAGCCAGGGGGCTGCGCTAGCCACCCTTGTGTGTGCCCTTGGCCAAGCAGGCGATTCCCGCTTCCCCTTGCCAAAGTTTATCATTCTGGTATCTGGTTTCTGTCCTCGGGTCCTTGGCCTCTGGGAATCCACCCTGCGGGGCCCCTTGTTGCTGCCTTCACTCCATGTTTTTGGGGACAATGACCGTGTCATCCCTTCTCAGGAGAGTATGCAACTGGCTAGCCGATTCACTGGATCCACCACTCTCACCCACTCTGGTGGCCACTTCATTCCAGCAGCTGCGCCCCAGCGCCAGGCCTACCTCCAGTTCTTGGACCAGTTTGCAGAGTGAAAGATCAACAAATGTCTGGGTCCCTATATCCCTCTTCCTACCCCCAGTGGGAACACTGACTTTGGGGCAGCCTCTGTGATCTCTGCTCTCCCGTCCCTGCTCTGGGACCTCCACTGCTGTTAGTGCTCCTCACTGTCACCAACTAAGAGACCAATAAATCAATTCTTCAAACTTAAGATTATATAAACCCAGCTCTGCACTCAAGAAAATGGGGACCAAGAGTCTTTGGACTTAGACCTTGGCATCTGGTACTCAAAACACAGAAAAGGCTAGTAGAGCCCTGAATGAGCAGAAGGTGACATGGGAAAAGCAGGGACTGGCACCACTGACTGTCACACAATAAAGTGATGACTTGAATTCTGATATGGAAAAAACACCCATTTTATAACGTATCTTGCCATCCCTACAGCCTTCTAGGGCAGCACCAAGCAGGGAAGAGTTTCCAGTTAGGAGCCCCCAGGAGAAGCTCAGCATGTGGGCACATACACTCTCACCCTTTTGGTGGAAGTCTTAAGTTCCAAGCTGCAGGAAAGGAGCCTGTGGCTGAATCAGGGAAGAATTTATATCTGAGAAGTTGGTAATCACCTGACAAGGCTCTGCCTGGCTCCTGATCCCTGAGAGTTGTGTGCTGGCTTTTTGTCAAACCCCAGCTTGTGTTCTCTACTTTCTCTTCCATAATTGTTTTAGCTCCTCTGAACTATGAGTTCCAAGGGTGGGATGGTGATAAACCTTGGATGGAGGCCAAAGACAGCACAGAGGAAACCCTTTTCCAAACTTGCCCCCATTTGCAGAGTTTCTGAAATTGATGTTACTCTAGTGATCTCAGCCAAGGCCTAAGCAGGCCATCTGGTTTGCAGTTGTTTCTAAGCACTCTATAAAGCCTGCCCACTTTAGCCGTTTCCCTACCTCCACTGCCCCACCCTCTGACTTCAGCTCTATCTCTGCAGGCTCGCCAACCGGTTGCTTTTCTAGAACTTAATAGAACCTATCCCTCAAGCATGGTTGCCCCAAGGGATTTAAATAATGGAGCAGAAATTAGGATTAGAGGATGCACAAATACTCCAGCCCATCCTGAGACAACCAGACTAATATCCTTAAATTATCAAAAATTCTGAGTTCTTCACTATAGATAGTAGCTAAGATAATTTTTATTTATTTATTTATTTATTTTGGTATGTGCCCCTAGCAGGAACTGAACCCGGGACTCTGGTCCGCAAGCCGACGCTACAACTGCTGAGCCAAACCAACCAGGGCAGATAATTTTAAAAAAAAAAAAAGCTGGAGTTACCTGCCTAGACAGACCCAGTTTACTGGGTTTAGGACCTTTATTGCAGAAAGTGGGGGTGGGGAGAAAGTTCTTTGCTACAGCCTGCTTCTGCCTTGCTCTTGGTTTTTATTTTTTTATTATTTTTTAATCCTCACCCAAGGATATTCTATTTATCTTCAGTAGAGTGGGAGGGAGGGAGAGAAACTGACGTGAAAGGCACACTGACTGGTTGCCTCTCACATGACCCTGACCAGGGCCAAGGATGAACCACAACCCAGGTAAGTGCCCTTGACCAGAATCGAACCTGAGACTCATTGGTCTGTGGGTTGCAGCTCTACCACTGAGCCAAACCGGCCAGGGCCTTGCTCTTTGCTTTGTTTTGTTTTGTTTTGTTTTGGTATGTGCCCCTAGCGGTAACTCTGGTCCGCAGGCCAATGCTCCAACCGCTGAGCCAAACCTGCCAGGGCAGCTCTTGGTTTTTTTAAAGGGGCCTCTTCCTTGGCAAAAGGTAGAGACTGAAATAGACAGAATTACTCCCATAGACCTGTTGGGCTTGGCCTATGGCATTTTAGGAAAAAAAAAAATGGATTTAGGGTATTTAAAATTTTAGGAATTTCACATAAAAATTCAGATTCCTAGTTTCTCTGGAAATCAGCAGTTTAAAAATGGAATGCAGTGGCTCTGCAGTTCAGGGCTCACGAGCTGTCATGGCAATCATAAACTGCCCCCTTTGGCAAGGTCCCAAGAGGTGAAAATGATGGCTTGCATACCACAGATATGCTGCTTGGATTATTGTGAAGATTAAAGGAGGGAGGGGAAGATATATTGGGGAATGAATTTTAAGCCAGGGCTTAAAGTTAGAAGGGTGAATGTAGAGCAGAGCAGTATTAGGTGCAGCAGAAGGTGCATGTTTGGAATGAGAATTTCCCCTGAGAATCATACCCCAGAAGGGAACAGATCATGTGGTCCACTGGTTCCAACAAATGAGGTATGTCACCCACCTGGCATCATACCCTCCAGGAACAACTGAATCTTACGGGGCTGTGTGCCTCCCCCCTCCGACACACACCGATTCTATGGACCACTTGTATCAGCACTGTGTTAAAATTTGGATTCCTGGAGCCAAACTGCAGATCCACTGAATCACTGGGATCCAGGAATCTGCATTCTGACAAGTGATCTCTGGTCATTTCCAAGCAACGATATTTGAAAACCACTCTTTAGAGTAGAATATAAGTCTCTGTTAATATGTGTTATTTGATAAAAGCTCCCATGTGATTCTCATGTGCTCCACTAGGGAAGGCAAGCTCTCAAGAATCATTGATCTTACATTTTCAATTTATAACTAAGGAAGATGAGATCCAGAGGATAGAAAGTGGAATATCATTTATTGAGTGCTAACTATGCCAGACATTGTGACAAGTAGATCTTTATAGTTGCCTAATTTAATTTCACAGCTTCATGAGGTAAATACTGTTACTAACCTAATTTTACAACTGAGGAAACAGGCACAGAGAGGCTAAGTAACTTACCCAAAGTTGGTTCAGATCCAAGAACTCAGGTTCTTTTTTGTTTTGTTTTGTTTAAAATGCCCATGCGCCAAGAACTCACATTCTTTTTTTTTTTTTTTTTTTTTTTTTTTTTTTTTTTTTTTTATCCTCACCCGAGGACATTTTTCCACTTTTGTTCAGGTAGAGTGGGAGGGAGAGAGAGGAACAGAGAGAGAGAGAGAAACATCGATGTGAAAGGGACACATCGAGTGGCTGCCACCCGCACAACCGACCAGGGCCGGGGACAAACTGCAACCGAGGTACATGCCCTTAGCGGGAACCGAACCCGGGTCTCTTGGGACCGCAGGCCAACGCTCTAACCGCTGAGCCAAACCGGCCAGGGCAGAACTCACATTCTTGACCACTGTTTTCTCTGCTGCTCTACAAAAGGTGAGCAGAGGCCACCACTCACTACTGTTGGGCTAAATGACCTGTCTGGGCCTCACCTTCCTAATCCATAAAATAAGTTTGGGATGGGGTGCATTAAAGGATTTCCAAGATACTAAAAAACTCTTAATATTGTACAGTTTTCTAGTTACTTCTCCCCTCTGACCACCTTCTCTAGATGGGTTCCAACTGCAAAAGACTTGGTTTCTTCTTTTCAGAATATCTCTTCTTTCCTACCTCTCACTCCACTTTAGATTCCTAAAGTGAGTCTCTTAGCAAAGAACCTCCAACAGCCCTAGTCCCAAAGGTTCTGTTCAGAGAGATGTGCCCCCCTCCCCTGTTCATTCTGCCTAAGTGCCCAGAGCTGGGGTCTCCCCAACAACACCATCCCCTGACAAACACATAATAGCCTAATAGAACAGTACTTAGGAGCAAAATAACATTCTGCAGTTTTTAAAGGTTTTTACTTACATGATCCAATTTGATCCTCACATCAGGCTCGTCCAAAAGAAGGAATATCTCATTACACAGAAAGCTCAGAAACAATACCCTTAGGTAACAACCAGTTGATGATGAAGCCAGGTTGGACCTGTTTCTCAGTGCTTTGCTCCCACCTACATATACTACATCTGCCCACAGATGTCCACTGGATTCTAGGATTGAATGTGTTTTAATGTAAGACCTCAGGGTCCTTGGGTGGAAGGAAGGCAGCTTGTGGGCATTGATTAGCTGTGAAGTAGAACCAATTGCCTTAGAAGTTTAGAAAAGGAAGGGGTATGGAAAAGTAAAGAAAAACTGGATTAGCCCTGGCTGGTTTGGCTCAGCGGTTAGAGTGTCGGCCTGCGGTCTGGAGAGACCCGGGTTCGGTTCCCGGTAAGGGCGTATGCCTCAATTGCAGTTTGTCCCCAGCCCTGGTTGGGTCATGTGGGTGGCAACCACTCGATGTGTCCCTTTCACATTGATGTTTCTCTCTCTTTCTCTCTTCCTTTCTCTCCCTCCCACTCTATCTGAACAAAATATTGAAAAATGTCCTTGGGTGAGGATAAAAAAATAAATAAACAAACCCCCCCCCAAAAAAAAACTGGATTAATGGGTGGCAGAGCTGGGGTGCATTAACTGTTCCCAACACTGCCCCTAGGGAAGTCCTGGCACCCAGTATCCAACAGTCAACAGTCAGCCCATGCAGTAGATGCAGTAGGTGATGTTGGAGGGGGCAGGTGACCTACACAGTGTTTTGTTTTTTTTTGTTTTTTTGTTTTTTTGGTACATGCCCCTAGCGGGAACCAAACCCGACACTCTCTGGTCCGCAGGCCCACGCTCCAACCGCTGAGCCAAACCAGCCAGGGCCTACACAGTGTTTTTGAAGAGGTGATTGCTCACACTTCACTGGCACAATAGGGCTTCAGCCCTGGATTCACTCCCCCTCTTTAGGGCTAATTTAAGATACTGTCTTAAATTGGAATCTAGCACTTACAGATAGACTGAAGGGAGGATGCTGATATGTTGACAATCCTTTAGGGACCTGATTAACTTCACAAGTCCACTGGCTTCTTGAAGGTTGGGAACCTTGTCTTTTTTTTTTTTTTTTCTTTTAAGATTTTTAAATTGATTTTTAGAGAGAGGAAGGGAAAGAGAGAGAAACATCAATACGAGAGCAAAACATCCATAGGCTGCCTCCTGCACATCCCTCACTGGGGATCAAGCCAGAAACCCAGGCATGTACCCTAACCAGAAATGGAACCAGTACCCTTTCAGTGCAGGGAGGATGCCCAACAAACTGAGCCATACCGGCCAGGGTGGTTGGGAACCTTTCTTATCCTACATGGCTGAGAAGAGCAAAGAGTGGAGAGAGGAGTGAGGAGTGGGTTGCAACTTCATCAGAAAATAGGTTCAAGAGCCCTGGCCGGTTTGGCTCAGTGGTTGGAGCGATGCCCGAGGACCAGAGAGTCCAGGGTTCGGTTTCCGATAAGGGCACGCACCTCAGTTGCAGTTTGTCCCCGCCCAGGTTGGGGTCATGTGGGTGGAAGCCAGTTGATGTCTCTCTCTCACATTTATGTTTCTCTCTCTCTTCCCCCCTCTCTCCCTCCTGCTCTATCTGAGGATAAATGCAAAAGAAAGAAAGAA